TTTCTGACCACGTACTCCAACATTTCGTTTGCAAAATAAGTTTACCGCTGGATCCTTGGAAACGTGATTTAGACATTTTGTTGTCCTGAGAAAAGTAAATAATAATTACATTATTTAACTTGGTTTTAAGGATGGTAAAACTAAGGCATAGAACAACAACTGACTTGCCTAAGATCACAATGAAAGTCAGTCAGGCCCACACCTGGGTCCCCTCACATCTAGGTCACTCGCTGTCCATGACATAGATTTTCTACAGAGCCTTTGCATCATCTTGGCTCTTTGTAGCTTTAGACCAATTGCTCATCTATTTTTAGCAGGCAAACCACTGGGGAAGAGAGAAGTTAACAAATGAAAGGGGAAGATATAAGGCACAGGACAGAATGAATGTCAGAGGTGGGAGAAAAGTCAAAGAAGAAAAGAACGCCCTAAGAGAAGTCAAGGATAAAATTTAAGTAGATGTAATATATTTTATTCACAGCAGCGTTTTTCTTCCATTTCCTTCATCCCACAACACCGTTCAATCCCCTTCTCGTCTGAACCCCCCTGGCATTTTGTTTGTTCTTCCTTAATGACACCGAGATCCTACTCTGCAGGAACATACACTGACAATCACACCCGGACTAGACCAACTAGATCATACACACTTTGAAAGCACAGTCAGTACTTCGGACAAATTTGTTTCCCCCACCAAATTTAACATGCTTGTTGAATAAATGAGTAAGAAAATACTCACAGCTAGAGTGACAAAAAAAACCCAAAAGGCTGAGCCCATTTTATTTCTTATTTGGAGAAGTATTTGTTTCCAAAATCTGATTTTGAAAAGCTCAAGGAGCTTGGGACATTAGCACTTGACTAAACATACAAAAACTAAGAACTTTGCTCTCCATGAGCAGAAGAGGGACAGAAAGCAGCCAGAGACTGCTCTGTGTGTGACACCCCCCGCCTTTGAGGAGGGAGAGGAGATGGCTGCAGGAGCTTGGGCTCCGGGGTGAGAGAGAGAGCTCTCCTGCTCAGAATCATATTGGGGTGGAAACAGACTAGACCTGAGGACCCGTCCTGTCCAAACTCCTCATTTTGCAGATGAAGAAACTGAGACCCAGGGAGATGGTCTTGCCGAAGGTCACTAAGCTAGATGGTGGCACAGCCTAGATTGAATAGTTTTCAAATAAAGTAGTGAATGAAGCAGTATATTAAAACCTTCCTGCAGAGACCTTGGGTTAGACACCTAGGATTTTAAATCACTAGCAAGTGCTATGGTATCATGCACAGAAAATAAATGGAGGCTACTAAACAGATCTGTGACCAAGTCAGGACTAGAAAAACCTTCAGGCTATGTTTTTGACGTCGTTTGGTGATGTTCAGGCTGAACAGTGAAGACTTGCCATTGCTTTTGAGTCCTGACTTGATGCGCAGTGATGGGCAGGGAAGGACAGACCGTCCTCGATTCCTTTTACACATGTGCTTCGGAACCAGCAGACAGATTTCTCTGCTTGGAGGAGCCTGAGACAGCCTCCCAGTGCTTCTGAGCATTCCCACCACCAGAGGAGAAGCTCCCCAATCAGCTGATCCAAGAAGCCTCGCCAAAAAGTCCATGCAAACCTGATCATTCCTGTTCCAGTGGAGAGTAATGAGCAAAGCATCCTCTCTGCTCAGGAAAGAGGAGCCCACAGGCCCTTTCTTTCCATCGTCACCTTGATTAATTCATTAATGATTCTTCAGGCAAGTTTTATTCAGGCACTTTGGGACACGGCAGTGAGTCAGAGGTTGGCATCAAAACCAGAATAGAAGCCATAATCCTCTCTGGGGATCCTACTCTGGGCTTTAAATTCCCAGATCACACAACTTCCTAATTGGAAAGAAATGTTCTTAAACAAGAGCACGGGTTTGCCAGGCCTGACAGTGACTAATAAGGTCGGTCTAAGGACTGTCTGATGAAAGGGAAGCTGGATTTACATGTCACAGTGAATTTTTAAAGCAGTTTCACCCAGACGTTTACTGCTGAATATAAATAAAATCTCTCTCCTTGGGCAATCCCCTCCCAACTCCTGCAGATATGCCTTCGTTAATTAAATTAACTTTGAAATGACATTCAAACAATATCTTCCTTCCAAATGCCTTTGTTTACTCCAGGATCTACTTACTGAGAAGCTGTTTCACAAGGTTCCTGTGTAAACTAAGTTTCCCACCTCCAGCCTGTATACTAATTGGAGACAAGTTTTACCATCTCTATAGTCGGTACTGGGTAGCCCTCACATTGTATTCATTACACTGTGTACCAAATGGCCCACGCACTTACCAATAAATAAATAAATAAAATTATCTAGGGTGTTTACGGAGGATCCAGATAAACACAAAATTTAAATCTCGTTTGCTGAAATTTACACATCTGAAGGCTAATTCCTGAGTTGAGGGGAGAGGATTTTTTTGGGTTTTTTTTTCAGTTTCTAAAAAATCAGGCGTTCTTGTTCCTAATTAAAGCGGCTCTTGGCTTAAAAACATTAAGTCCAAAGCCGCGGTTCCCCTCCAGGGTGCGGGCGCGCAGGCGCGGACAGGCACACGTGGACACACACACTCACACGCGCCCGCCCACACCCTCTTCAGTGTGAATCGCCTGCGGGATTTACCCGCTTCGCCACCGCGGATTACTGTCAGGTGCAGAAAGCAAGTCTTTGTTCGATGGGCATTTTCCTCCCCCCGGATTTGACTGTTATTTACCGGCCACGTGAGCGCCGGGCGGGGGTCGGGCCGGCGGGGAGGCGCCCCCGGCGCAGCGGAGACAAAGGCCAACAGAGCGCGTGCAGTGCGGCCCAGGGACGGCTCCCCAGCTCCTGCGACACGTGCGAAATTGGCCCGGACCTGCCTCCACTGAGAGGCTCTTCCAAAAAATGTGCTGTCCAAGCCTTAGTAAAAGCGTCGGCGGTTCCTTAGGCTGGGGAGGTCCCGGCCCGCGGGCCTGGTAGGGGCCGGATTCCTAGGCTGCGAGTGCGCCCGGGACTACTGGGGCGTGGGGGTCTCCTTGGAAAGGGCGCACGCTTGGTGTACCAAGGATAGCCAGTCTTTAGACAGCCTCACAGCCACCTCAGCAGAAGGAGAAACCGGACAGAGGCCCCTTTTGCCCTCGGGAGGGAGGACCAACCCCTCCCCACCGAGGAGGCCGAGCAGTGAGCCTCCCACCCGGAGTGCCCGGCGTCCGAGCTCCCGCCACCCAGAGGCCTCGGTCGTTCCTCGGTCGTTCCGCAGTTGTGGCCCCTTCCAGGGCCGGGAGTAGGGTGAGCAACGCGCCTCGGGCGCAAAATTTAAGGGGGCACCAAAAAGCAGTCAAAATAAATATCTTAATGCAATGTATTTTTAAAACGATTAAAACTAATGCAAAAAAAGTCCATGACGAACAAAATATTAAATTCTAAATAGAGACAGGATCAGTGCAGTGCCATGTTGAGGCATTTTGGAGCCCGAGGTAAAAGGAAGATCCCCTTGGTTGAGCGGCGCCCCTCACGGCCCACTCGACCTGGCCCGGGGCGTCGCGGGATTCGGGGCGCAGTGGGAGGGGAGCGCGGGTCGTAGGTCTCGGAAGCGGAGGCCCCCGCCAAGGCCGGTTTAGGGAGTGGAGGGGTGGTCTTGGGGGCCGGAGGTGACAGCTCCAGAGAGCCGCTCCGCCGGGAACAAAGGCGGAGCGGAAGGTCGAGTTGGGGGCAGGAGGGACCCCGCGTGTTCGGCGGCTTCCACCCGCGACCAAGAGTGGAAGACCCGACCCCGAAGCCGCGAGCGAGTCCTGTAATTCCCCCGCTCAGTGGTTAATTCTTACTAACAAGACTTGGCAAGATGTCGGGCGAATAATTTTTGGCTTCTGTCGTGTCCCCACCGCGGCGCGCACAAACCCCCCTGCCAAAAGGAGCCTCTGGGAATTGAAATGCCTAAGTCAAACTAGGGGCGGGAGAAATGCTACCTGACCCGGAAAGTGGGATGCAAAGAAACCTGAATCGGCCCCAGAGCTTATTAAATCCTTTACGCGTCAGTTTCTCTGGGTCTAGCTTCGCACCAAATGTGGACCCTGATTGTCATTTCCTGAGGAGACGATTCACACGTGTGCAAGATGGGGTGAGGACTTTTCCAAAAGGCAAAAACGTCGGGGTTTTCCCCACCAGGGGTAAATAAACATCTTTAGGAAGCGTGGAAGGGAGTGACACCCCGCCTTCCTCCATGGGCACAACATTCCGGCAACTAATGCCTCCCTCTGGGTCGTAAAGCAACAAACCCAACACCTCACTCCTGTTACTGGGCTTCGGGGCAGGAGGGCTTGCTCTTTCATCTTCTAACTTGGGGCTTGCCCACGTTCCTGGGAAGCTATAAAGCTGATTTAATGGCTTACGATGAAAATCGATCAGGCTAATGCATAAGCTAAAGTCTGAGGAATCGCACTGGAAAAACGACTGGCCGGGCCGAACGCGCTCGGTGAGCCTGGGACGAGGAGGTCCCAGCCCCGCCGGCTGCTCAGCGGTGCCACGGTCCCCTCTCCGCTCCGGTCCCGGGAGGAGACCTGTGGGGCGCTTAAGGGGGGAAGCACGGAGGGAAAAACGGATGAAACCTCCAAACCGAGCCCTGGCTCCGTTAGGCCGGCTTCTCGACTGGCTATTTTCTTGACGCCGAACGCCGCAGCGGGTGGAGGGGCTGCTGGGCCCCTGGTGCCGGGCAGGACACGCGCCGCGGAGGCCGGGGTCGGCGGGCGGGCGGGCGGGCGCGCGGCGAGAGGCGCCGCCGCGCTCCATTCACAAAGTCCGCGCGCCGCAGCCCGCCCGCCGGTCGGAAGCCGCCTCCCTCTTCCTCTCGGTCTCGGTTTTATGAATGGGCCTGCCGGCGAGCGCCGAGCGCCCTGTTTACTCCGCTCTTTGTGACGTCGCGTTCCCGTGACCAGGCGCGAGCAGCCGGCACTCCATTCAATCTCCGGGGAGGGGGTGGGAGGAGGGGCCCCCGGGGCCGAGGGCGCCGGGATAGGGCGGGGAGCGAGCGCGCGGGGCGGGGGAGGGCGCCGGGCGCAGAATGGAAAGAGGCGGGGCCTGAGAGGTAGTAATGAATCTGCCCCCTCCCGGGGGAGAGCCGCGGAGCATTAATAAATCTATAAGCAGAGGAGGAAACTCTGGCTGGGGCAGTGCGCGGAGCTCCGACTGCTCGTGGGGGACGGCGGCCGGAACGGCAGCGCCGGCGCCGGCGGCAGGAGCAGCAAACCGGCAAAATACAACAGAGGCAACCACAGAAGGGAGCCGGTGGTCCTCTCCCGTAAACACACTCCCCTCCACCGCCACCTCCCCCAGCACCGCGCGCCGTGCTGCGTGGCGCCCGAAGCCGCTCCGACTGCTATGTAACCGCGAGACTGCGGGAGGAAGGGGACTGGAGAAAAGAGGTTCGCCCGTGGGAGCCCCGGGGGCCAAGTTTGCACGCACCCTCCTGTAGCCCTCGCCTGCCCCTTCCTCCACGTCGGCTGGCCCGGGTGTCCTTCGCCTCCTCGCGTGCCCAGCAGCCGCAGTTCCCGGCGACCATGGTGACGGTGGAGGAGCTGCGGGAGATGGACTGCAGCGTGCTCAAAAGGCTGATGAACCGGGACGAGAACAGCGGCGGCGCAGGCGGCAGCGGCAGCCACGGCGCCCTGGGGCTGCTGAGCGGCGGCAAGTGCCTGCTGCTGGACTGCAGACCGTTCCTGGCGCACAGCGCGGGCTACATCCGAGGCTCGGTCAACGTGCGCTGCAACACCATCGTGCGGCGGCGGGCCAAGGGCTCCGTGAGCCTGGAGCAGATCCTGCCCGCCGAGGAGGAGGTGCGCGCCCGCCTGCGCTCCGGCCTCTACTCGGCGGTCATCGTCTACGACGAGCGCAGCCCGCGCGCCGAGAGCCTCCGCGAGGACAGCACCGTGTCTCTGGTAGTTCAAGCGCTGCGTCGCAACGCCGAGCGCACCGACATCTGCCTGCTCAAAGGTAACCGCGGGCGCCGGGGCGCGAGCTGGAGGGTAGGTGTAGCGGGGCTTGGCGGCCTGGCCTTAACGGGCAGAGGAAGTGCCCGGAGGGACTCGTGGCTGCGGGAATCCCCGCGCACTCCTTTGTGCGTGTTGGTGTGCACGGTTTTGCAAGGTTTTTGTGCAAGTGCGAGCTCCTGAAGTCCTCAGAGACGGTCAGGGCGCGCGTTTCCTCCGTCACCTGTAATTCCGCACCCTCCCTGGAGATTCTGCGTTTATTTACACTCACTAAGGGTCTGGCCTCGCGGGCGAAGCGACTCATCTGCGTTGCCCACTTTAGAGTCCAGGGAAGTGCTCTCAAATGCCACTGTGCGGGTGGGGACAGGTTAAGCCTTTTGGTTTGGCGTGCCCAGCCCTGCACTGAGTCCGACCCGGAGAACCCAAGAGGTGGGGAAAAGGGTGAAGGAGGGTGAGCGCCGGGGTGGGATCGGCCCTGCCGGTTCGTTTGGAAACCAGCCCTCGGTAAGTGCAGAAAGGAAGATCGGGTTGCGGACCTCGAGTGGAGCGATCTATATCTCGTCTCCTGCTGCCCAACTCCGAGCTCTGCATGGAAGGTGGCCAGTTCGTCCGGCCTCGGGCTAGACCCCGGCTCTGGGAGCGGCGGCGGGTAGGGAGGGGAGATCTGAATATTTGGGAAACGCAAGGCGGGACGGTGCCTCTTCAATTCTGGCATCGGAGAAGTACGACCTTTTGTTCAGACACGATTCTGGACTATCAGATGGCGGTGCATGCTTGATTGAAGTGAGCCCTGGAGAAACTCTTTGGGGAGCGGGAGGTCATGTCAAATCTGGACGTCAGAACCCCGGAAGGACAGAGCGCTATCCAAGTAACTGGAGGGACCGTGCGCCGGCCGCACCTGCCCGGCCGTGTCTGGCAATGGTTCTCCGGGACGCTGGCGCGGGGGCGGGGAGGAGGAGCAGGCAGGGCGCGAGGGGTAGGGGCGCCCCCTGCCGCGCTGCGCTGCGCCCCTTCCTCCCGCCGCCGCATTCCGCGCATTCTTTCGCCTTCGTTGGGTCCTCGCCTCCAAAGCCGAGAGGCGTTTCAGACCCACGCCATCAAAGAGCCGCTCCTTTTCCTGCAGGCGCCCCGCGCCCCCTCCCTCCTTTGCTTTCCTCTCTGGACCTGCTCACCCGAGAGGAAGGGAGACGGTGGAGGGAGGAGGGGCGGAAACCTCTCCCCATCACCCCTTCCAAAAAGCACAACAAAACTGCTCAGTGCCGACGAGCCGAGTTTGCCCCTGGTGAACAGCGGGGGGCTTTGTTCTCGGCAGTTGTTTCCTGGCCATTTGACCTGTCAGCTGCTGGGGAAATGCTGCTGTTGACCTTTGGTTGAACCACTAAGGCGATTTTGCTGATTTTTCTTTCTCTTGGAGGGCTGCCTTTTGCACCTCCGATTGAGCCCAATCCTTCTCCTCCTTTCTCCCCAAAGCGCTTTAAGAGAAAGTGCCAGGAAGGGGCTTGCACCGGAAGGACCGGCCGCTAAGTAGGGCGAGCTGGGCGCTGGGGACGGCCGGCCTCGCCTGCCCTGGGCGCCGAGCCGTGCCCGGCGCGCACGTCCAGCGGACTCCCGCGGCCACTACTGTTAGACGCCAGGGTGGGGGTCCAGGCTGTCGAGCACGCCTGCTCTCCCTTGCCTGGTGCTGGCGCTGGTGGGAACGACGAGAGAAATGTCTCTGGGACTAAAGTCCCTTTGAGTGGCAGGGGCTGGCCGGGATGGTCCCCGTGCCGCGCCGTCCTCGAGTCCCTTCTGATTTAGAGCCGAGCGCGCGCCTTCCTTCGCGGGCTTCTAAACCCAGGACCCTCCTCGAAGCAGGGCCGACCCACGTGGAGTCTGGGTTCGTTTTGTTTCTCTTCCTGGAAGAAATCTGGAGGGGACCGCCCGAGAGCGGCAGTTCGGGGACCTTGGCCCTTGGGCTTCCGGGCGCACACTTAGGCCCCGCTCCCGGAGAAGGAGGCATATTTTTAAGGTGTCCTCCTCCTGCCCGTGGCACCTCCCTGGTCCCCTCGAATCCCACCGGAGAGCCGGAGCCCGATCGCTTCCGAGAGCCGCCCCGCGGACGAGCCGCTCGGCGCGAGGCAAATACAAACGTCAAGGCTGGGAGGACAGGAGCCTCCGGGTAAAATGACAGTCCCCTGGCGGTTGGCGAGGTGCCCGGCCAACGGAAAATGAGTGTTGGTTCTAAGGGCTGTTTCTTCCCGAGGCTGCACTGCCTCCTGTTGTCTGACATGGGGCCCGCAGGGAGGGCGACCCTCTGCAGCGAGATCTTGCCTGGGCTGCAGGTGCGACTTTGGTCTGTGTAGGAATAGACCCCGGGAGTCGCCAGGGGAGGCTGAGTTGGGTCTTCATGAGCGCAGGGAGCCTGCCTTTGGATACAGCTGCCTAAAATTCACAGAGGTGGGGGGGATCTTCCAGCTTGTTCTGTAGGGGTTCTAGAACATATTTGAGGTTAACTGGGGCATTTTCTGTTTAACTTAGCTTATTTTCATATTTGGGCTGAGCAGAGGCAGTCTTAACAAAATTCCTGCTCCTTGGCTTTGCCCTCTGATGAAAAGTTGTCCCTCGTGTGGGCAGGCAGGAGCCGGGAAGGGTCTGCTCCCACCCCGCTGCGGGGAAGGTGCAGGCGGGGGAGGAAAGCCAGGCGGCCTATGTTCCACGGAGGAGAAGCCAGTGGACTGGAGGAAACGTGGGTTCATGGGAGGGGATCTGGGGGCAGGAACTAAAGGGAAACATTGGGAAACACAGAAGAAAGCCCTTGGATTATCTTTAGTAAATGCCTGAATTGATTAGGAGTTGGGTAACATGGTTCCCACCGGAGTTGTTGGTTTTATTCTGCAGGTAATGGGCCTTTCTGTGTGTCTCATTTCATGTGTAGTGATGGGTATGCAGTAAAAGTGGTCAAACGTGAAGCCAGTGGAAGACGAATAGTTGGTGTCAGCCGTCCTGGGGGGACAGGAAAAACAGCAGGGTGTTTTCAGAGGTTAGATTATGCTTCCTGGCCACCGGCTTTCTAATGCTACCAATTAATTTCTATTAAAAATCTGATTTTTCTATTTCTGCCACTTCAGGCAGTTGGTTACTTGCTGCAGGTAGTTAATAACTAAACCACAGGCCAGAATTCATAGTTGAGTAAACTTTACTTAATATCAATAAAATGCTACCTAGCTTTTACATTTCTTAATATTACCCAAGTTTTGCTAAAAGCAATAACCCAAATCACTACATTTTCTGGGCTTTTTGCTAGTAAAAGATTTCCATTGGGGTAAACATTTTTTTTCCCCCCAGCTCATTTTATTTAAAATCCTGTAAGGCATTTTTAGGGACAGTTTAGAAATTTCAGCTTATCAAATTTTATTACAGTGAGGTACACATCTCCTTTGAAATCCTGTTCTCTCTTCTTCATAAATCCTTGGATTAGGGTTTTAGACCCCCTCCCCCCCGGTCATTTAGAGAAAGACAAAAAGAGCATTTTTTAACCGTAATAGAAGTCATTCTTTACCTCCCATATTCCCCAAATAACAAGTCAGTCTGTTACACGTAAGATTTCAGGTATAAAAACATTACCTCACTTTCCTCCTGTCTAAAATTCATCTCAGCTCATGACCTTTGTCAGTTCTTATTCAAATTCTGATTTAAAAGCTGTCTTGGAGCTGTTTTGAGAAATTGGGAGGATCAACTAGATAGTCCAAGTTCTCTCTCCAGGTTGGACCTCCTGTACCCTATAGTCCCCAGGCCTGACCATACAGACTCTGACATTACACTTTCTGTAGAAAACAGCCACTAAGGCCAGTAATGAATGGTGTGGGTGGGGGCTGGGGCTCAACCAGCAGCCCTGGCAACTCTGGTGACTCTCTTCTGTCTTTTCTCTCTCTATTCCGGTTTGTCCAACACATTCTAGTTCCCCAGAAGGTCAGTGGCATCAAACAGCATAGCCCCGGGTGGGGGTGTGCTAAGATTGCACACTTCTTCCACCCAAAGGGAAAAGGACTGGCTTTTCTCCTTGCAGATATGCCACAATGCTATGACAGCCAAAGACTGGGAGTGTTACAATTACAAAAAATGGTAGGCCTTAAGGATAATTTCTAACCCCTATTGTAATTCACTAAGGAATTACAACGAATGAAGCAAACACATTCCTTTTGCATCATTTGAACTGGATGCTTCTAACCAACAAAAGAACTAAAGACAGAGGGTGTAGGTGTAAATTGAGAGTGAAAACCCGATTGTTAATTCAGCCCATCACAGCTGCCTTGGGCTTGTCCTCGATGCTTATAGGAGGGGTGGGCTGTCCCCACCACGATGGGCTGCACAGAACCCAGTGCAGTTGGCTTTTTTAAGGAGCCAAGAAATTCCTTTAAAAAATCAAAACATCTGAAACCAGATAGCTGGCTTCCTTGCTGGGAGGTAGTTTCTGCCTACCAAAGAGGAAGTTTGACAGGAAGAAAAGTTCACTCTCAAACGGAAGCCAGCATGCTGGAAGCCAGCTTGCTGAATGCAGCCGATAGCACAGAAGGACTGGGATAGCACAGAAGGACTGGGAGGGACCGTGAACAAGATCCAGCTTGAGCGTGGCCTTAGGTGTCAGCCAGCTGGCCCAGACCTACAGGAGGTCTGTGCGTGGAGTCCAAGGCGAGAAGCCCACTCAGGTAAATTTTAAATACTGCTCAGCATTTCCATGGGCGCTTACTAAGTCAACATGTACATCAAGGGAAGTTCTCAAAGCCAAATGACCTTCAAATGACCCCAGACTTTCTTGCTGGGCAGTGCTTGCCTTTCATTGTTAAGATGTCCCTGGAGATGAAGGCTATGAGCCCTGTCTGTGAACGGGTGATACTCTGAGTGTTGAGAGCATCATGGGAAAAAAGTGGCAGCCACATTAAGATCCATGACCATAGTCACCACCAAAAGATAGTCTTCCCCATCACAGACCCCATTAAGAGTCCTGTTATGGTGGTCTGATCAGCA